GCACAATATTGTCCCCATGTATCCAGCATGAAAAAGGATACCAAGCTTTACATAGCAAAAGGGGCAGTGATGGCAGAAGTCAAGATAGTCTACACCAGTGGTTCTTAACGTGGGCAATAATGCCCCCCAGGGGGCGATTTCATTTTTCAGGGGGGTGGTAGAATGAAAAGGGGCGGCATGGGGCGGCGGAACAAAAGGGGGGTGGTAGGGGGGTGCTGGAGCAAGCCAAACCTGTGAAGGCGGCTGCAGCCATGGTGCTGGCAGTGGATCCAGTGCCACTGCCACCAGACAATCCAGCTCTTTCTGCCTGCCACATCTCGCCTTTCTCCCTTAGGGGAGCACTGAGTGTGGATTTGGTGGAAGGAAAGGGTAGCACCCGGGTGGGTAGGAAGAGATGAGCCCCGTTTTTCCGTCCTGCCTTCCCACCCACCTTCCCACCCATTGCAAGGGAAGCGTGGAGAGAAACGGGTCAGTTTGGGGTGGCGTGGCAGGGTTTCTAGGGACAGGGCTGGCTCGGGTCCATCCTGGGTGGGTGGGAATTCGGCAGCTTTTCCGGCTTTTCTTGTTGTCCTGTTGTGGTTGGCTGGCTGTTGAATTTTATTTTCAAGAGTCATTGGATTTAAGTGTCTTTCTTGAATGAACGAACGAACGAACGAACGAACGAACGAACGAACGAACGAACGAACGAACGAACGAACGAACGAACGAACGAACGAACGAACAAACAAACAAACAAACAAACAAACAAACAAACAAACAAACAAACAAATAAATAAATAAATATCGCCGTGGGGAGGGGGGCAATGTTAACTTCATCAATGGCCCAAGGGGGCGTTTCTTTCAAAAAGGTTAAGAACCACTGATCTAGATTGTGCTAAACAGGGTCACTTTGAGATGCAATATCTCATTTGAATTTCCTTGAATTCACATGCGAGGATTGACCACGCTGCACATCAAGTGACTCTGTACCTCTGTTTCTTTCTTATAAATGGAAAGAAAAAACAAAGATACAAACAAATTCATCCTTGCCCTCTCCTGTCTCCGCCTCTGTGCTTTGATTAAGTTGCTTCATGATCTCAGGAAATTGGAAACTTCTTCCTGCTCCCTTGTGCAGGGGGAGAGAACAGAGGAAGCTTTCTTTTCTTTTCTTTTTTTCTTTTTTTTTGGTGACATATCACATTGGTGTTGCTTTGAAAGGCTTTAAAGAAAAAAAGCCATTTTTTCGAGTCGTGCCCGTGTCAAAATCTGCGATTTGTAGTTTGATGAAATGCTTAAAGGTGCATGTTATAAAGTTCTAGGGAGTTTTCTTGAGTTCTTGGTGAGAATTTGGAATGCCTCACCAATCTGAAAATCCTTGGAATCTTGAGAATGGTGGCACAAATGTTCAAGAGGAACCAAACTGCTGTAATGTTGCAGTGACAAAACCAGTATGTGCTGAAGGGCTCTAAGATGCTTTTTATTGGAATACAAGATATCTAGATTTGGGGGGAGGGACCCATCTTGTACCCTTCAGAGATTCCAAGCAGTTCCACTTCTGGGTCCTTGACATTATCTCTCTGTGTTTCTGGATCTCTTTGGCATGGGATATAGGCAAATCTTTGGGTCCAAGTCCCAAGGTGGATCTGAGTCTTTTGTACCAAGTCCTAAGCCCCAAACCCCTACTTCTGAGTGTCTATTAAAATCAAGCTCCCCCCCCCCAAATGGGAGTGAGTGGTTGGATTAGCATTGACCTCACTTTATTATTATTTTTAAAGTACTTTTGTTCAATCAGACTAAAAGGGATCCAAACCATCAGTCGAAATCAACTTGTCACCACACAAGACATTCACACAGCATTCCTAACCGCTGACAGTGTAGAAACTGAAATACTGTCCCGATGATTTATTAGCATTTCAGAAGTATTGGCTATAGGTCTTTGTGCCTTAATCCCCCAACCACTGGCTCCCACAGATATAATGCAAACACCCATCCTGGGGCAGTAGTTACTCATCTGCTTAAAAAAAAAAAAGGAATGACATGGCAGCTGCAACATTATTTTTCATACACATTTGTTTCTCCCAGAGTCTCCTGACATGACAGGGAAGCCTGGGTGGTGTCCTGTGCGAAAGTTGCCTCATCCCCATCATGGCCGACCTCATAAACAAAAGAAACAGAAGAAGTTCCGTTTCTCTTCAAAAGAGGACACAGGCAACCAAAAGAGGACAAAGGCAACCAAGAAGTGGACACAATACGTTTTCGAAAATATGTGAGAAACCAGGCTGCAACACTGACGATGACTGCCTTGGAAATTGGAAGTGTTGTCAAATTGCCCGGTGTGGGATGAAGTGTGTGAAACCAGTGTTTTCCCAGCACTCACATGAAGACCAGAGTATTTCTTCGGAAGAGCGATTGTCTTAGTTCCTGATGACAAAGGGCCGAGTTTTGGTAAGTAGAAGATTAGGCTGCTATTCAAGTTCCAAGCAGCTCATTTGTTGGAGCCACTGTTGAGCCAGCAGTGCGGTTCATCTTTGCCTACCTCCTCGGATGTCGCGAGACTTCTAAGTTCCTTGAGGACAACTCGGGAGTAGAGGGAGGAACGATAGGCTATTTAAGGGCCGTTCTTCTCTCACTCCTCCCTCTTCCTTTGCTGGCATCAGTTTAGGATGGAGTCTGCTGTTCGGCACTGGTTTAGCCGCGTGCTAGATCGTAGGCCTGCACGGTTCAGCGGTCGGGAATTGGGTGTGTGTGTGTAGCATCAGCTCCCTCCTGCAGTTTGTTTGGCTTTCTCCCAATTTGAATTTAGTTTTAATTATTTTCTCTTGATTTATTAATTGTTAACTAATTGAATTGAATTAGATGATAGTGTGAAGGGGAGGTGTCGCGACCGCACGAATCATGCAAATCGCGTTCCGGTGCGAACACGGCTTGTGCAGCTGATTTTGTTTTCGGCTAGGGTTTGTTTTACACATTGTTTGGTTTACATTACATATACACATACACATACACATACACATACACATACGCATACGCATACGCATACACATACAATAAATAAATAAATAAATAAATAAATAAGCCCTGCCTAGTGTATTTTGACCTAGACTCTA